GTTCTTTGCATTATTTTCCCTTTTTTTTATTTTTTTATTATTTTATTATTTTGTTTTATTATAACGTTGCAGTGCTGCTTTACCACACCGGGTTTCTTGCAAATGTTAGTGCACAGGAATATTAATTTCTCTAAAAATAAACATAGAAAAAATGGTGATGAGAACATAATCAAAAGCATTAAATTGCACGACACCATTGGCGTGCAGGGGGGGGGGGGGAGGGCAAAGGGCAATGGTCCAGTCAGAGAAGGAGATAAATTTTGTGATTTTGAAATTCATATTCAGATCGAATAACGTGTTTATTTCATGATTCATCAGTTTACATATTCAAAATATCCCCCTTTCTCATAATATTTCTAATTCCTTGTCCTAATACCCAAGTCTTCAGGGCATACAAAGAGTTGACCCCGGGCATCACCTGACCTCTGCACGCCATTGGCACAGATGAATGGGTTTTAAATCAGCAACAGAAATGTGAGTGTGTTTGATGATATTAATAGGCGCGTATCCCTTTTGGCGGACGAGTGGCGCGGGGCGAGGGTCTGGGATAGGACTTACTTGCCGGAAAAGAAGAGTTCTTGGTAGCTCTTAGCTATTTTTTTTTTCACTCAGCCGCTCGTAAGAAGGGCTACGTACGATGCACACACACACACACACACACACACACACACACGCACACACACACACACACACACACACACACCACACACACACACACACACACACACACACACACACACACACACACACACACACACCACACACACACACACACACTTAAAATTCGCGCAAATACCATTTCCAAATCCTTAGAACGGTGGCCGAGTTTGTAAAGCGCTGGATTCGAATCACCAACAATCTATCAACATAAACAAGATGATAATATAATAATAATTATATCATGGAACAATAATAATACATAGGCACACACATATTATTAATACACTAACAACAATAACAGTAATGATTATAAACCAAAAGCACCACTAACAACAATAATAACAATTTTACCAAGCGAACCAGCTCGTCACAAAACTCATTTCCAAAAAATCCTCACCAGCCAGCAGAGCCCCATAAGCAGGCGGAAGCAGGATCACAGCAGGTCAGAGTTTACGTCCAAAAGGATTCGAAACTGTTTTGGCTTCTTCCCGCCAAAACGCGTGAACACGATCAGAACCTGTTTCGTTGGAGGGAATTCTGTTTGTGACTCTCTTGATATATATATTATTTATATATGTATATATGCATGTATATATATATATAATATATATATATATATATATATATATATATATATATATATATATATATATATATATATGTATATATACAACAACATATGCGTGTGTATGCACGTCTCTGCACGATGCTTCTATTAATAGCCTGGAATCGTCAGGTGCAATTGATAAGAGAAGGACAGACATATCTTTTTCAACAGATACGAAATTCGCTTTAGTTCCCGGTCAGCCATTATCCCATCAAGTAAGTTCCGAGCGACAGGAATCCATAAGACCGGTTATTTATTTCCGAGCATTAGGAAGCTTCGTCAGGCCGTCTATCTATTTGCTAGCGATAGGAAACCTCATAAGACTATGCGTTTATTAACCAGTGACAAGAGATTTCATAAGCAATTTCACATACAAATTTCAGAACGATATGATACTTAATAAGCCCACGATAGAGTCCGTGTATTATTTCTCAGCGATATAAGACTTTTAAAGACCGTGTATTTATTTCCCAGAGATAGGAAACTTTTTAAGACTGTATTTATTTCCAAAGATAGGAGACATTTAAAGAGAGCGACTTTTAAAACTGTATTTATTTCCCAGAGATAGGAGACTTTTTAAAGACTGTGTATTTATTTTCAACGATAGAAAACTTTAAAGACCGTGTATTTATTTCCCAAAGATAGGAGACTTTTTAAAGACTGTATTTATTTCCCAGCGTTATGAAACGCCATAAGACCCTAAATTTATTTCCAAGCGACCGATTTTTTAAAGACAATTTATTTCCCAAAAGATAGGAGACTTTTTAAAGACCGTGTATTTATTTCCAACGTTATGAGACTTTTTAAAGACTATATTATTTCCCAGCGATCGCTTTTAAAGCTATTTATTTCCAGTATGATTTTTTTAAAGAAAGTTATTTCCCAAGCGATATAAAACTTTTAAAGACTGTATTTATTTCCCAGCGTTATGAAACGCCATAAAACCCTAAATCTATTTCCTAGCGATCGATTTTTTGTATCCAGACTTTTTAAAGACCGTGTATTTATTTCCAGGACACAATTTCCTTGCATCATGAAGACAGATATCAATTTCTTCCTGAAGGAGGACGACTTTGAGGAAGTCGTTTCCTTCCTTGCAGAGGACTACTTCCAGAGAGAACCTATTGTGAGTATTTTCCTCATTTTTGTTTTGATTTCGATGATGTAGTTCAGTGTCAGTCCGTCAGCCACGAAACTAACCTTTAAAAAAAAAGAATTACTTATGTGTGCACCTATTTATTCATACATACATACATATTTATATAAATGCATGCATATATACTACATACATAAATGCATGCATACATACATACATACATACATACATACATACACAACACACACACACACACACAACCACACACACACCACACACACACACACACACACACACACACACACACACCACAACACACACAACACACACACACAACATATATATACATATATAACACACTCGCTAAATATTGTGCCATATCAGATACGGAAAGCACTTCTTGTATTTGCAATATTCGCACTTTCAGATTATTAACTCACCTTTTTTGGTGACTTTACCTGTGCCGCCAAAGGTGATTCGATCGTGTTCGCAAAGAGGCCCTTCGACAGCAGTTCGCGATGTCCGATCTGGCGAAGGTCATACAAAGTCGCGTCCTAAACCACCCATGCCACGCAGAGGTGACCCGGGCAACGAGAGGTCACGTGAGGCCAATGCAGGGCCTGTTAGCTACCCCCCCCCCCCGCACCCCGTTCAACCCCCTCCTCCCCCTCCCCTCCCTTCCAGACCCTGGGCACGGGCGCCAACGAGGAGTGCCAGCCGGGCAAGGGGCGCATGGGCGAGGACGTCCGCAGGTGCCTCCAGTCCGGGCTCTCGGTGGGCGCGAGGGACCGGAAGACGGGACAGCTGATCGGGCTGCGCGTGAGCAACCTGCTGGACAGACAGAAGCCCTTTAAGTCTACACAGCCTCGTAATGAATTCGTAAGGCATATGCTGTGGGTTTGGCAGTGTATTTATGCTATATTATTGTTTTCTTTCGATATCCAATGGTCTTTGATTAATCGTTACATACGGCTTTGCGTCCGTGTGCAGGTGCGTGTGTCCGTGTCTGTGACTATACTCCTAGGTATTATCTACACGGTTTATCACACATTATTAAGTAACTCAGTAAGCACATCCGCACGCAGGAGGAGGTCTACCGCATCGCAGAGCACGTAGTGAATCACGTGTTCGAAGAGGAAGCAGACAAGTTCCTCATGATGTTCCTGCTCAGTGTCCATAAGGATTACGGCGCTCGTGGCATCGCTGGCAGGATGATCAAGGTGGGCGCGGATTTCTCTCTCTCTTTTCGAGGTGGGGCGAGATATCTCTCAGTGTAGGGCAATTGTCTTTTGTTTATCTTTCAAGGTGTTAGATTTTCCTTTCAGTGTAGGTCAATTATTTTTTGTTTATCTCTCAAGTTGAGATCAATTTTCGCTCTCAGTGTAGGTCAATCACTTTTTTTTATCTCTCATGTTGAGGTCAGTTTTCTCTTTCAGTGTGTCAATCTTTTTTTTCTTTCTCTTCAATGGGGCAAGGATATTTTTTCAAGGTGGAATTCTGATTTTTTTCTTCCTTTTTCCTCTGTTTATTAAAGGTAAAGCTCTTTTTTCTATCAAAATGAGGCTATATATTTATTCATTTAAAAGATGACTGGTATTTCTCTTCTTATTCAAAGTTTTTTCATTCAAGGCTTAATTTATTCTTTTTTCAAGGTTAAGCTAGATTTTTTTTCTTATTCAAGCAAGAGTCGATTTTTCTATTGAATTTTTCCACGGCACATATTATTGTTATGTATTTTCATTGGAAGAGGAATTTTTTTCTTGTTTTCTTTTTTCTCCTCTCCCATCTTTGTCTCGGTTACTCTTTCTTCTTCTTGCTGGTAGAAGTATGACAACAAAGAAAAGTTGCCATGAAACTTCAGCGCCATTATCTTGTTTTTGCTTTAATGGCCAATTGTCAACGTTTTATCCCTTTTTTTTTTTTTTTTTTCGTTTTTATGGTTATTTCATTATGTAATTGGATAAGTTTGAACTAGGTTTTGCTTTTTATTTCTCAGGGTATCCATTACTTCTTGAAACATAAATGAAGCATGATTATATTACAAAAAAAAAATAATAATGAATGAGGCACATTGATATATAAGTACCGTACTATTTCGTTTTTTTCTCCTCTCTCTCCTTCCTCTTCCGCCTCTCTTTCCTTTCTCTCTCGTCTCTCTCTCGTCGTCTCCTCTCCGTCGCTTCGTCTCTCTCTCTCCTCTCCTCTCTCTCGTCTTCACTCTCTCTCTCTCTCTCTCTCTCTCTCCCTCCCTCCCCTCCCCTCTCACCTCGTCTCTCTCTCTCTCCTCTCTCTCTCATCTCTACCTCTCTCTCTCTCTCTCTCTCTCTCTCTCTCTCTCCGTCTCTCCTCTCCTCATCTCTCTCCATCTCTCTCCTCTCCTCCCTCCTCCCTCCACCTCCCATCTCTCCTCTCCTCTCTAAATTAATCTATCTAATCTCCTTTCTTTTTTCCATCCTCCTCTCCGGCTCTCTCTCATCCCCTCTCCCTCTCCCTCTCCTCTCCCTCTCCCTCTCCCTCTCCCTCTCCCTCTCCGCTCTCCTCTCCCCTCTCCCTCTCCCTCCCTCCCTCCCTCCCTCTCCCCCCTCCTTCCCCTCTCTCTCCTCTTAACTGTTCTATCTATCACTTTCTTCTTCTCCTCCTCTCGCTCTCCCTCCGTCTCCTTCTCCTCCCAGATGAGCATGGAGGCCGGGGCCCAGCCCAGGGCGCTCAATAGCCTTACACTTGGCAATCAGCCAACGTGGCTCCTCGGGGAAGGTCTTCGAGAAACTGGGCTTCAGGAAGGGCTTCACGCTGGAGTACGAGAAGCCCGGACACGACTTTAAGGTGGACCTCACGAAGATGCATGGCAATAAGGTCGCTTATCTCGTGATGAAGGAGTTGCCGTGAGACCTAAGTGGGAATTTGGGTTTGGTCATTGATAAGAGAAGTGTTTTTTATTTTTTTTTTCTTTCTTTTTTTCCTTTAACATGTCGATTGGCGTTGTTCTTGTTATTCTCAAAAGTAACGTTTTCGGAGAGGAAATTCTGCAGATAAATCAAATTAAAATATTATGTATGCGATAATTAGAATTATAAATTTTCCGAAGGCTATTGTTTTGAAATGAGTGACAAGATAATAACTTTTAACAGAACCTCTCTCTCTCTCTCTCTGTTTGTCTTTTCGCTATCTCTGTCTCATTCTTTTTCTCTCCCACCATTTTTTCCCTCTAAACAATCGGTTATGTGAACTTAATAAATTATTTTCGGCAGTTTTGTCTCTCAAGGAAATATGAACAGTATCACAAACAATCAAATCACCAAGATTGATGTATTAGAATAGTTGACAAGATTGTTAATGCTGCTTAATTTGACACTGTTCTGAATTCTAGTCTCACTGTATTTTGTTCAGAGCTTGTGAGTGGATATAATGATAGAGATATTAAGTTAATAATAAAGAAACGTGAATTTTGAAAGATTATCTGTGGCAGCCATTCACTTAACCTTGGGTCGGGAACTGCTAGTTGTGCGAATATGTATGAACATGTGTTTATGTGTAGTGTGTTTGTGTTTTATGTGTGTGTGTTGTGTTTATGTGTTTGTGTTTCCTGTGCGTGTGTGTTTGTGTATGTGTGTGTTTTAATTGTGCTGTGTGTGTTGTATTTTATGTGTTTGTGTATGTGTGTTTGATTGTGCATGTGTGTGTTTGTGTTTTATGTGTTTGTGTTTGTTTGTGTGTGTTTGGTTGTGTATGTGTGTTTTATGAGTGTGTGTGTGTTTGTTTTATGTGTGTGTTTGCGTATGTGTTTTATGTGTGTGTTTGATTGTGCATGTTTGTGTGTGTTTGTTTGTTTGTATGTTTATGTGTGTGTGTGTGTGTGTGTGTTTTGTATTATGTATGTGTGTGTGTGTGTGGAAAAGATATGAAAGCATTTGAATGGTACAATGAGTCGTGATAAATCTGATTAGAAATTTACACAATAGGAATATGGGGGAAGGAGACCGATTAATATATTCACCAGATGTTTTGGTTGATATTTAGTACATTAAAATATCTGTTTACATATTTATGTATATATACTTTTTAAAAGCATTTTACAAGTTTATCAATCACATATGTATTTTTGTCTATAAAACCAACTCGCTTTACATATATTTCTTCAATGTATATGGGATTAGTTTTATTTTACAAAGTTTTCCTTTCTTAACAAGTACAGTTATTTAAATCATAGTCAATTCTATGATTGACTGCAAACTACAATTTCGAATCTTTCTTTGGTATGTTTCGAATGCAAGGGTCGAAACTGAGGGACCACTCGCTGGCAACACAGTGATTTTTTTTTTTTTTATCTCTTTTGTGACCGCGGTTTCTTCTTATCTTAATGTGATAAAGTGTAGCAACTAACAAGATAGATGTTTTTCTTTCTTTCTTTTCTGTCGGTATTAAGTTATCAATGCACTTGACACGAAATGAATTCCTTGATTGAAATAATGTGATAAAGTGTAGATAAAAAAACATCGAGAAGGAATTCATATTGTTGTTTTATATGTTTTTATCGTTCTTTCTTTTATTTTGTTAGTATTAAATCATCAATGGTATGGATAAAAAATAAATTCCTAACTTTTTAAAATATGCGACGTCCAACACATCAGCTGTTCCATTTACATTTTTTACTTCCATTTTTTTTTTTTTTTTTCTTTTTAGCCCAAGTGAGAAAATAGCAATGTGTAATTCTCAGTTTCCCCAAATAGTCTAACAACATTCACTGAAGACCTATTAATAACATAAACACCGACGAACTGGTAGTAAAAAATTGGCCTACATTATTAAATTGGCCTACATTATTAAATTGGCCTACATTATTAAATTGGCCTACATTATTTTCCCTCCGGTCTTCGCGACACCTCTGCCAATGCCCTTAAGAGTCGCGATTCACTGGTTTGGAAATCCTGCCATAAGTGCATTGGCTTTAGGAGAAGGGAACTGCAAGCCAAGGAATGTCAGCAGGTCAGGCGCAACGATCCCCTACCGGCTGAATTTTGCTTCGTGAATAAGCTTTATCGTCCCTGTGGGAGACCTTCATGGCGAGGGATAGGTTCAGAAAAGGTCAGAGTCTTATTGACCTCTCTTTCATGATCAAAATGTGTGTAGGGATGTTAAA